GCCAGATATCTGACTACTAAATGCAACGATTATCCTCCTGTTTAATTCTGACTGAGTGGTCTATCGCTAGCGATGAAGGTACTGTAACCACTTCGAAATTAGTGTAAAAAATATTTTTTGTGATTAGGCGTAAACTTCGTAAATATGATTCCTTCATGAACCGACGGTTACGTTTTTCGTGCTAGTTCTTTGCGTTATCGTAGTAACTTTTGCGGATACTGCAATCAAAGTGCATATTGACTTCTCAAGCAATTTTTGCCACCACTTAAGCACAGAGGATCAGTTTATAGAGAGCTATTCATTCATAACTGTCCTATATATTCACATTTCGTATATGCATAAGTTTTAAATTCAGGCTGTTGGATGAAATTTTGCATACGTACAGAGCATACCATGAACTTTTGATTTCTACGGTTCGTAATCAGCCGTTGAAGGCTCGCCTCCTTTATGACAGTAATGCTACGCTTGGTGGTGAAGATGCTTGTGATCTGGTGATATCACCCACTTTGAAGTAATTTTTAAAATATTCAAGTTCTTTCACAGTCTCTGATGTGCATTTTACAGAAATGGGAAGAATGCCGCCGACGAGGAGCTTGTAAAATGGTTGAGTGACAACGGGTTCGACGACAATGCAATTGCGTTGATTGTCGCTGAAGAATACACAAAGGTGGATCTGCTTGAATATGTTTCTTCCCGTGAAGAGCTGTTGCGCGTCGGATTAAAGTAACTTTTTCGTTATTGTTAAGATTGTATATGTTTGCGTAGCGGTAGTTCTCTGCTTACCATATTTTCATTTACTGTCTGTTTGTACCACACACTGAAAGGCTAGGGACGTTTGAAATGAAGCACGACATCAGTGATAACTTTGAATAATTAAAATTATTTTTGCCGAGGGGCGGTAGTGATCTGTGCAGACCGACAGCCTGACTGACAAGGTAGGACTTGGACAAGGCTTAGAAAGTGTGAATATTGCATTCTTTCACCCTTCTGTATCTTTTTTCGAAAGCAGTTCATTTCAGACCGTGGCACCATCGAATATAATCAGTTCCGAAAACTTTTTAACTTTTCTTCATACTTTCCTTAAAAACGTCGCCATTTCTCCTACATATGGCAGGCTCTGAATGTGGTATTGCCAAGGACTGTCACAAATTTCCCTCAATTACCTGAAAGTCAGTGAATAGATCCAAATGCAGTTTTGCCCTGAAACGTTGCTCTCTAATATCTTGCATGGTCAAGTATTTATTATAAATGTTAATGTTGTGCATGCTAAGTGAATGAAACCTTTCGAAAGATCACGATACGGGACGGACGACTTCGAACTCTGGACAGGATTAAACATCAATGTCAGAAGATGTGGCCTGCAATCAGATGTCGACCATTTGAGGTGATCACCTGATTTACGAAATAATCTTGCTACCGTATGCATATCGAAGCCCTTCTTTCATATGGCAAAGAAACCGAAGAACGTATCTGTAGTTCTTACTGCATTAACGGGGACCACTCTAACACGGGTGATCCGATGAATCTCCTTTATTTCATCACAAGAGCCGTAGATGCGACAGGGGTTCGCGAAATGTTTCAGTTTGCGCCTCGTCACACTGTTCTGTCATCGTTCATTTATGCAGCAGCTATCCGCACTACCCTGTAGAAGTTACGATTTAGCGTGATTCAGTGTTGTTCGGGTGAGCAAAGGCCTGATCGGATCGTCAACAAGGCTTTCACTTGTAACGTCGCGTCTGCCTACAATTTTGTCCGGGTGTTTTTCCTGTCGGCCACTCAAAGGAGGAAACACTGGTTCATAAAACTTTCCTTGAACTCCGTTAGATGAGCGCTTTCAGGCATATTTCTTAGTAGATTGACAAGTCTCGATCTTCTAAAGTTTCATATTCGAGAACTTTAGCACAATCTTGCCGCGTAAAGTTCGCCGACACTATCATCTACAGTAACGGTACTATTTTGAGGCTCCCGCTGACGTTCTCGATAGGGCTTGGGGCGTTTATTTTGATATCTACAAAATGGATATGGCCATTATGCATCACACTGATAT